AGGGATCCTAATTAAATGCCATTTAATCTTATCTCCCTTGTCTGCTTTTTTAACCCTATAGTGTCTGAGTTGGAAGGAAATGTAGGAAGCATTCCCTCCAACCTCTTTTGCTAGTAGGGAAACTGAGGCAAGCTGGTTTAGGTCCCTCGGGCTCCTAAACATCCCCCAGCAGTGTTCTTATCCTGCTGCCTTACCCAGTACACAGCACGCTCCACGAGGCCCGCTCTCCACGGGGACCCTGGCTAATGGAGCCTTGCACACTGGCACCAGCTCACCAGCCTGCCCCCCCCTTTTTGCCATTGAGCTGGCTCTGGACTCATGCCCAATGGCATCAGATCATTATGATCCATAGTGTTTTCATTGCCTGGTTTTCCAGAAGTCAATTGCCAGACCTTTCTTCCTTGTCTTAGTTTGGAAGCACCATAACAACACGGAAGCCTCCACTGAAAGGTGGGGAGTGGCTGTGAAGAGGTGCCTTGACCTGGAATCAAACCCAGGACTCCTGTATGGGAGGCAAGAACTCCACCACTGACCCACCACTGCCCCCCACTCAGAATTCCACGGGCCATAATTAGGAACTCTGGTTGGATTCTTTGGACGCACTGGGAACAAGCAAATCACACATCCATTCATTCATCAAACATTTCGAAGGCCTGCTAGGTCCTTGGCTGGGACAGGTTGTACTTGGTAGTGACACTGCAGAAAAAAGGCCTGGTGACATGCTTCTGTAAAGATTACAGTCGAGAAAACCCTGTGGGGCAGTTCCACTCTGTAACTGTGGGCCATGAGCTGGAACTGACGCCAGGGCGGCAGGTAGACAATGTGCCAGGCAGGCCTGCGTGTGATCAAGGTCTTACATAAGGCAGGGAAATAGCGTGCCTGGCATATTGTTGTTGTTAGTTGCTGTGCAGTCAATTCCAGCTCACGGTGACTCCATATACACAGAGAACTGAGCACCACAGGGTCTTTAAGGCTGTGACATCTCACAAGCAGAGCACCATGGCTTTTTTCTGAGGTGCCTGTAGGTGAGTTTCAGCCACCACCCTTTCAGCTAGTACTCAAATGCTTAACCATCTGTGCCAAGGATCTTGTACTATATGCCAGGGATCCTTGGCACATAGTAGTCTCTAAAAACGGCAGCCATTTGCCTTCCGTGGATGTCACCAAAGCACGCCCCCTGTAGGTGAGTGGAGGGCTTTGCACCCTTGAGATCTGTTTTATGTCAGAGGTAAGAACCAGAGAAAGGGGAAATTCCAGTCACCAAGACTATCAAGGCAGGGACAGAAAAGAAAGCCACACAGCACTGAGGGAAACAAGATTTTTTTTTAATTTATCTTTCTTTTAAAAAAAGTTGATGTTTTTTGTTTTTTGTGGTTTTTTTTTTTTTTTAGGTAAACCTCTTTCTGCCTCCCCACCCTCACTCTGCCCACCCTCCTCTTAAAAATATAAAAATGTCCAAGCCCGGAGAACTAGAGTACAATAAATAAACAGTAAACACAAAAACATACTTTATTTGTTTCTTCTTTATACAAAATAAGGAAACTAGAAGCGTTCGACTTCCAAAAAGGTATAATACTGCACTTCCTGACGGCTCAGCCTCCAGGCCTCAGGCAGCGGGGACAGTCTGTGGGCCAGAGCCCAGCAACCTGGGCGCTTCCCCCAGGGGCAGAGCAGGGTGGGCGAGTGTTCGAGTCCGGCCCGGACACCCGGACTCAAAGAAATATCAAAGTAAGGAAGAGGAGGGGGTTGGCCCTAACTGCGAAGTCCTAAGCGACCCCTCCCCCCTTCCTGAACGGCTGACCTTGAGCCTCAAAACTGGCCACCAGGGGGCGCCAACGCGCACGTTTCTCGCTCGCTCCTGCAGGCGCTCGCCCCCTCTCCCTCTTCTTCCTCATGTCGCTCCTTTTCCGCTCTCTCCCTTTCAATCTCTTTCTTATCATCGCTTCTTTAAAGACGGGGAAAGCGGAGTGAGAAATATGATTACCAAATGCCGCTCGGGATTGCAGAGAGGGGAAAAATAGCTTCTAGGCCCCTTAACCTCAACCTTCTCTGAGTCCAAAGAGGTGGTGGGTGGGTGCGGGGTCCGGGCGAGGCTAGAGCGCGCTGGAAACCTCTCCACTCTCTGGGGTATCGCCTTTGGTCCCAAGAAATCGCTCGCGGCTGCCGGCTCGGTCCCCCTCCTCCCCGCGCCCAGCCGGGGAGCAGCTGCCGGTTGAGTGCGGACCCGAGAGAGAACTGCTGCGTCGGGCGTTTTGGTTGCCGGCGGCTGCGGGCCGGGGGGGGGGTGGGTCGGGGGGCGGCCCGGCGGCCTTACCACACGGCGGCCTCGTTGAGCTCGGGGTTGGGGTGCGACAGGGGTCCGCTGTAGCCGCTGGTGCCGCTCATGGGGAAGGGCGGGCTAGGCCCGCCGCTGAAGACCTCGCCGGGCATGGGGTGCAGCGCCCCCGGCAGGCCTGGCTCGGGGCTCGGAGTGTCCGGGTGCGAGATCATGTCGGTGAACCTGGGGTTGTCCGCGGCGTGGGGGCCCGCGAGGGGCGGCTCCAGGGCGCCCAGCGGCGTCGAGCCGGGCCCCGACGCGCCCAGGAAGCTCGAGTCGGCCGGAGACTGCGCCTGCGAAGGCGGGCCGTGCGCGAAGAAGTCGAAGCTGCCGCCCGGCCCGTAGTAGTCACCTTGGTAGTCTGTGGGAGGGGACGGAGGGCGACAGCGAGAGGTCAGCGGCGGCGGATCAGCCGGGACTGGGACGGGGCGGGGACCCAGAGGGCAGCAAAGACGCGAGGAGCTCAGGGGCGCAGAGGAGAGGGCGTTACTGGCTTCTGGGGGTCAGTGCTGAGACCAGGGCAGAGGGAGACCCCGTCCCTCAAGATGGTGGAGAGCTCAGAACCAAACCAAAGGCACTGCTGTACAGTCGGATCTGACTCATAAAGACCCAGCCTCGGGTTTCCGAGTCAGTATCACTATGGAAGTAGATTGCCCCATCTTCCTTCTGAGGAGTGGCTGGTGGGTTTGAACCGCCAGCCTTCTGGGCAGCAGTCAAGTGCCTAGGCACCGCACCACTAACCAAAAAAAAAAAAAACCCCAAAACTCACTGCCATCCAGTCGATTTTGACTCATAGCAACCCCTCCTTGGGTTTCCCAGGCAGTATCACTATGGAAATAGATTGCCCAGTCTTCCTTCCGAGGAGCGGCTGGTGGGTTTGAACTGCCAGCCTTCTAGTTAGCAGTCGAATGCCTTAGGCTCTACGCTACCAGAGCTCCCGGAGGGCTTAGAGGGAGGGTAATTCTGGAAAGAGACATTGAGAGATAAGAAGAGACTCAGACAGGGAGGCACACAGCCGGGGAGAGACAAGGACAGTCAGAGACACAGAGACAGTTTCTTAGACTTCAGTGAGATGCACAAAGAGAACAAGAGAAAGTGTGAGATGGCAGTATGCAGAGTGAAGGGGAGCCAAGAAACACGCAGGGAGGAGCCCCCAGATGAGGAGGCAGCAGAAGAGACCCAGAGACTCCGAGTTGGTGGCATGGATGGAGACACAGAGGGGAGAGGTCTGAGAGAGTTGGATGAGAGAGGGAGGAGGAAGTGGCTGTCAGGGACACAGCGAAGAACCCAGGGTGGACGGTGAGGACTCAGGAACCAGAAGGAAAAGCCCAGAGACACACAGGCCCAGAGAGCACTAGAGCCGGCCAGTGACGCAGAGGCTGTGAGGCCAGGGGAGGCGCAGGCCAGAGGTGGGGGGTGAACAGATGAGAGACGGCCAGGGACTGGAGAGGGAGAAGCCGGATGGTAGCACCGCCAGAGCAGGCAGGGGAGGTTGGCGGGCTGGAGGCCGGGTAGGCAACCCAGACCTCAAGCCCGCAGGACGCCCTCTGCGCCCTCTCCTTCTTTCCCGGAACCACCTATCCAGCAATTCCCCCCACCCAGCCGAGGACAGCACGGCCGGTGAAGGCCGGCCCACCGTTTGCACCCGCGTGGCCGCGCCTGGAACCGAGAAAGCTGAGCTGCGGGGGCCTTGGTGAAGGGATGAGGGCGGCCTCCAGTCTCCCCCTGGTCGGGTTGTGAGGACACCCTTGTTCTGACCCATTTAGGGCCAGTGAGCCCTTTGAGAATCTGGTGACAGCTACGGGCTCTCTCTCGAGATAAATGCACAGACGTGCGTTTTGCCCAGAAATTCAGGGGCGCAAGAGAGAGGCCAGGTCACACGGCCGCCCGGCCTCAGTAAAGGGCTTCGACCCCCTGCAGTCCTCTCCCAGCCCCTCCCCCAACTCCTTCGGGACAGAAGGACTGGGGCGGGGGACCCCCACGGAAGGAGCACCTTGTCGCCGGCTCCGGTGACAACAACCCGCTTCCTACGGCGGGAAAACCAGCTTCGCGCGGAAGATAAACGCCCTCCTCTATATGCCGGCGCCGCGGCTCAGTCCTGGAGACTCGGCCGCTGGGGCGAGGTCCAGACACCACCCACCACCCCCTTCAGTCTCCAAAACCTGACAGCAGCCCAGACCGGGACAGGGGTCAGAGGGCGCGCGTTGCAGACAGTTGAGGCGCAGGCTAAAACGGTCGCCGATTATTTTGTAAAAATCGCAAATTCCATTCTCCTCGAAAGGGGAGGGGAAGGAGAAGGTTGGGAGTGACGAATTTGGGTCCCCAAAGGGACGGGGTTGGCGACGCCCGCGCCCTCAGCGAGCCATGCAGCCAGCAAGGGCCGCGGCCCGGCCCCCGCGCCGGGCGCGCCGCCTCCGCCCATATGGCGGCCGGGCCGGAGGTAATTGGAACAAACGCTGTCTGAAAAGGGCACAAAAGCCGCAGCTGGGGCTTTGTCCGCGCTCCCACGGGGAGCCGCCGGCCCCGCCGCCCGGCCCCTTTCTCGCCCGTTGCCGGCCGCCGCCGCCGGGATCTCCCAGCGCGGATTAGGCAGGGCCGCCGCGCTGGGGACCGGGGCGGGGCTGTATTCTGTCCCCCCCACACCATTCCGGAGAAAGGGGGGCCCCCACGAGGCAGGAATGCTCCAGCCCCCCACCCCATCCAGCAGGCGCGCACGTAGAGGAGGCGGGATTGGTGGGGGGCGCGCTGGTCCTCGGGGAGACCTTGGTTAATTACCCAGGCGGGGAAAAATTCTGCGCCCGGACCGCCCCCGCCGCTTCCAGGTGCCGACCGCTGTTTAGGCGGAAGGAGGCAAAGCTAGGTGGAGGGAGCCGGTGACTGGAGACCCGGAGGACACACCCACCATCAGTGCAGCCCGGGGCTAGGCGGCTGCGGCCTCCAAACCCGGGTTCCGCCACCCGCAAGGCCTCTCCAGAAAAAAACCGGGGCACTCCTTGTCCAGAATTTCTAGTGGCCCCTCAGGGTTCGAAGCCCGGAAGGTCCAGGCTGCAGAATTGTCCAGGTCTCTCCCGGGTTGCCTCGGTGCCTTGCTCGGTCCCCCCCCCCCATTGCCACCAAATCCATTTTCCTAAGAGAAATCGCGGTCCTCAAACTGAAGACTTGGCCCCTAGTAGGCCTGTGCCAGGCGACAGAGGTCAAGGCCACTGAGAAGCCCAGACGCCTATCAGGCACAGGCACTCCTGGGGGTGTCCCAAAGTCAGAACTCAGCGCCTTCCTCGGGTCCATGGCACTGGGAAGGATGGATGTGGGGCTAGTGCAGCACTGGAGGGCGAGGGCGGAGGTGGGGTGGGGTGATGGGTTTCCAAATGCCGTGACAAAGATCAGTGACGGCGAGGAAGTTGGAGAGTGAAGGGAGGAGCAGAGGAGAGAGGGAGGAAAGGAAGAGGTGAGGAAGTGGAAAGCTCACCACAGGCCTGAGCCAGGGACCAAGGCGGGAGATTTCCCTTTGCAACCTCAACTCCTCGCTCTCTTCAGCTCCAAAGACCGAGGGGGGACATTGGTGTTGGCCCAGGGCCTGAGGCCCCAGCCTTGAGGCCCCGCAGTGCCTGGGGCTGGAGAGCCAGCTGAATTCTGCCCAGAGCAACTCCTGGCATCTGAGTTGACATGGGTGGCTGCCTTGTGAACCGCCCAGGTGACTCCAGACCCCCATCCCCACCCAGAGACGCTCCGTGCTTGGCCCTTAAAGGCAACAGCAGCGGCGGCGGCAGCAGGGGGACAAGGTGTGTCCGTCTGCGGAGTCTGCGCTTTGTGCGTCCGGGTGGCGGTGGGTGTGTGCGTGTCTATGTGCCTCTCTGAGTGTCTATCGGCGAGTGTAGCAGGGCAGAGTGTACCTGTGGGTGACCGTGTGTCTGGAGGTGTGTTCCCGCGGTCCCGCATGGGAGGGTGAGTGTCTGCACTGCTCTCAACCAGTGTTCACCTGTGCATGTCACGGTATGGCTGCTTGAGCCCACATGCCTAATTTTGCCTGCAGTTGTGTGTGCATGCGTGTCTGTTAAGGGATCTTCATTACAGTGTGTGTCCTGCGTGGGCGTGTGTTCTTGTGTCTGGGGCGGGTGGGATGGGCGGCAGAGGGCGCGCAGGTACGGACGCTGCGTCCTCAGTCCCTAGAACGCGCCGGCCGCGGGATGGGGCAGCGCGTCCCAGGGGGCTGCTTACCTCCGTAGTAAGTGTACGGGGTGGACCCCAACATCTCAGATTCGTCCAAGCGGCCGCCCAGCGGACGCATGCGCCGCGGACTCCGGAAGAAGGCGTGTCTCCGAGCGCCCAGCGCGCTCAGCTGTTTCATCCGCCGTTCTTTGGACCGTCGGTTCTGGAACCACACCTGACACAAAGGAGAGCCTGTAAGCTCCCGGCCGCGGGTGACCTACCGTCCCCTCCCTGCCCGGGCCGCTCCCGCTGGGTCCTAGCGCCTCCCGCGCGCCAGGACTCCCCCGAGGCGGGGGCCGGGCCAGATTAGGCCGAGAGGGCTGGGGCGGGGCCTCTGCGAACTAGCCAAGGGTGAAGGATTTCGCGGACCCGTGGGGCGACTCATAAAGACTTGGTTTCCTGGTCCTCCGCCCGCCCGCGGCCTGACGGCTTTATAAAGGCCTCCCGCCCGGGTCCGGCTCTGCCTTGGCCCCAGGGCTCCTGAGCCGGCTCCGGCCGTCTGTCTGTCTGCCCGCCCTGGAATCCCGCTCAGGGTCGGGGCAGACGAAAAACAGCGCCTCTTTTCTTTGCTCAGAAGACGTGGAAGAACAGAGGGATTCCGGATCCCGGAGAGGCTTAAAACCCTCCTTGAGGGAGCGAGGGGAGGGAATTTAAAGAGGCGAGGGGACAGGCCCGGCATCACGCGCCAAGAGGACAGCAGGGCTGGGCCCCTATCTTCTGGACCAGTTTGCTCAGCTGCCCTCGACCCCGGGAGCCTGGAGCTCTCTTAGCCAAGAAGGCTGCTCGCAGGCCCTGTTTCCCGGCTCCCGGACGCTGAGGACTGGGGAAGGTGACCGCACCTGGATGACGCGCATGTTGAGGCCGGTCTCCTGCGCCAGCTGCTCGCGGATGTGGCGGGTGGGCTTGGGCGTGGCGGCGAAGGCCGCCTTGAGCGTCTCTAGTTGCTTGGCTTTGATGGTGGTGCGGGGGCCGCGCCTCTTGGTCCCCGAGTTCTGCTCCTCGTTCTCGTTGTTGGCCGTCTCCTTGTCCGACGAAGTGGAGTTGTCCGTCTCCTTGGGGTCGTCCTGGAGTGGGTCCTGGAGGTCTGGGGACAAACTGCGGTCTGTACAGGATGACACTGCCGGTGGACAGAGAGAGAAGGGGACGACGGTCAGTGGTGGCCCAGGCCTCTACAAGCCCCGGCCACCGCCAGCCCCAGGTTCCCTCCCAAACCCTGCAGCCGCCCCTCCCCCCGCCCCTGGAAGTGCCCTTCTCAGCCCCTTCAGCACCTCCCGGGTATTCCTTGGATAGGGAGGCGGTCACGCCCTCTGAAGGACCCTGCCTCATTGGAGAGGGGACAAGAGGAGGGGATACATGCCCCTGGGGCCTCAGATCACTTCTCCCTCCTCTCCTTCCTCCAGACCCCACTTAGGGCCCTCCTGGAGCACGGGAAAAAAAAAACAAAAAACAAAAAAACGACCAGGAGCCAAATGACAAGAATGAAAGGGAATTGTAAGGCTCCAAACTGAGGAAGCAGGAGCAAGTTGGAAAAGGCCAGAATTCGGGAAGGTTGGGGAAGCTGGCCATTCCCAGTTCCCGTGAAGGCCAACTCCAGACGCTGTTTCCTTCCCAGCCTCCCCCTGGGCCTAGAAGTGCCTGGCGCTCAGCCCGAGGCGCACACTCTGTGCACGGGCAGATGCGCGGGGCCGAGGGGCCCGGCCGGCCTTTCTACCTGAGTTGAGACTGCCCTCCTTGAGGCTGGACGAGCTCAGGTAGTCATCCTTGCACACGAACTTGTTCTCGTCGATGACGTAGAGCTCCTCACCCGTGGACAGCTGCTTGTTGCACACCATGCAGGTGAAGCAGTTGAGGTGGAAGACTTTGCTGCGTGCCTTCCGGACCAGGTCGCTCGGCGAGATGCCTTGCGCGCAGCCGGCGCACTTAGTGCCGAAGCGCCTGCAGACACATACGGACTCTGGGGTCCCGTTCTCTGAACCCCTGACCCCTTGCCACGCACCCTAGCTCCTGAGACGCCTCCATTTTCACATCTGTCCAATGGGACCCCAATCCTGCCTCTCAGCGAGGCGGGACAAATATCCCGGGTTGCTCTTGGGATTAGCACATGTTCAGGTCGACTGGGGGCTGAGAAGGGGGCAGCAATGGGTGCAGCCTTCAGCCAGGCAGAGGGCCTACAGCACCCCAATATGCTCCTGCCCCCCACTTTTTGCCAGACTAGCCCGACGCAGCAGCCGTGGCTCTGGAGACGGGGAGGCCGGTTTTGCTTCTGTGTTACGTGGCTTTACCCTGGAAGCCAGAGGGGCCCTCTCCAGCCTGTGCTGGCCCAGGTAGGGGCTGATTCGCCTGGCTGGCCCATCCTCACAGTCAAGTGGGGGGAGGTTTCTGGAGTTGGGCTTGGTGGAGAAGGAGAGAATCTTCCCCTGATTCTCAGTGCCCAGAAAGCAGTTTCCAATCCCACTCTCAGGCCGGTGGACAGCAGGGCTGCAAGGGAGGGGGCTCAGGAAGCAAGGACTGTCTCTCTTCCCAAAGCCTCTGTCCCTGGCAACAGCCAAATCTCCACCTGGTAAGGCTAGAACACAGAGTCCTGTACCCGCCCCCCATTTTCCATATTCTTAGTCTAATTTCTTTTCTTCCTTGAGTGCGTGGGGAAAGCCGGTTTCTCCCAGAAAGAGTGGTGCAGAGGGCATTAGGTGCTGGTTGGGGGGAGACTGGAGGGCTCAGGGCTCGGCCCGCATCTACCCCCGACCATGTCTCTAAACAGGGTGAATTTGGTGACATTGATGCAGTGAGGGCATTAGAAGTCATAAGTCACTTTTGGCCTCATCCGGCAGCGTAATTGGCCATATGTACCTTATCAAAAACCATTAGGCGCTTTGCAAGCGCCGCCACATTAGGAGCGTCGGGGCCTCTGGGGCCGGGGAGTTTACACGTGTAAAGGCACGGCTGACATTTTCGCCTATTCAAATTCCCCAGCGCTGAGCCGAGCCTCTGGGGCGGCGGGCTGCCTTTCTCCCGGTGTTAATCACACCCCCCCTTCCCCAGCCGCCCGCAATTCGCACTCACAAAGCCTGCGCTGGGCGCTGGCTGGGGCAGGCAGGGCTGAGCTGCTGAAAAGCCCACCGCCTTCTAGGATTTGCCTTGGCGTTTCCCAGCTGGGGAAACTGAGGTCCAGAGAGGTGATCTGCCCTGGCCCACCCACCCAAAGGCCCTCAGGAGTGGGGAGGAGGTGACAGAACCCGGGACCTGAGGTCATGATTCTCAGCCCTGATTTTGTTTGTATTTTGCAGCAAGGGAGAAAATGTTTAATGGGGTGGCAAGCGAGCTTGGGAAGGGTCCTTTCGCCTTCACCAGGAGTGCCCTTCCTGGCTGGCCCCCTCTGGGCCTGGGAAGTTGCTGTTTTTCCAGGGGGGTGGGCTTTGGGGCTCAGGCCTGCCAGGAGGGCAGCTTGCACCCCTCTGCTGGGGGTGGGGGAAGGGTCCAGCCGCCCCTAACTCCGGCCTGAATCCTTCCTCTCCCAGGCAGGCACTGGAAGCTACTATCCTGGGGTGGTAGCCTCTGGGAAGGGCAGCGACCACTGGAGAATAAGTTTGTCAGGGCCTCCCCCCAACGCCCTAGCACTGCTGGAAGCTTGGCCTGGAGAAGCCACCGAGAGGCAGCGAAGGCGGTGGCCTTCTTTCTCCACCCGCGCTCGGCTGGAGTCTGGAGGAGGGCAGCGCACAGCCCCGCGCCCCCTCTAAGCTGGCGAGCCGCGAGTGGAGCTAGGTTTGCTGGGCTCCCTTCCGCGATGCCCCCGAGGAGCGCGCGCAAGGCGGCAGCCTCTTACCTGAAGAAGTCATTTTTGCAGTAGAGCTTGCCCTCGCGCGAGAAACACTTCTCCGAGAGGTGGGTCTTGCACTCACAGCACTGCACGCATTTGATATGCCAAGCGCGGTCCAGCACGTTCAGCAGAAAGCGGTCGAGGATGGGCCGCTCGCAGCCGGCACAGTGCACCATCATAGCCCCGCGCCCTGGCGGCTCGGGCCGCCGTGCCCTCCCTTTGGGGCACCGGCCCTCGGGCCCCCTGGCCCCGCCGCTGCGCTCCGCCTTGGGCCTCCGCTGCGGGCGAGAGAGTCCGCTCCGGACCAAGACCCAGCCGGGCAAGTCCTGCTGCGATCGCCGGCCTGGCGCTGGGCTGCCCGGGTCGGGCGGGCGGGAAGGGATGGAGTTCACAGCCTCATGCCCGGGCTGCGCGCCCGACGCTGGTTCCGGGCTCCCCAGGTGTCTCTGGCTGATACTGGCTTCGGCGCTGCTGCCGAGCGGCTTTCCCCGGTGGCGGAGGCGCCGGCACTTTCCCCCACTTTCAAGCGGTCCCGATCCTCATCTTTGTCTGGCCGCCGCCTAATTCGCGCATCCTTATTCAGATTTGGTGACGTGGCGCGGCACGTAGGGGTCCCGGTGGCCAATGGGCGCGCCGTGGCCATGGCAACCTCTTAAATTTATAGCATATCTAAATTGGCTACAGCGTTGCGGTCCGGACAGAGCAAAAAAACAAGGCATCAGTATTGTTGAGTATTAGCTCGCACCTGGTGCGGACGCTAAGTAAGTATTTACCTTTCAGTTTGGGGCTGAGGGGCGGGGGCCGCGCGATCCGAAAACAGCGTCTCTCTTGCCTCTCACCTCACTAGTATTTGGGGGCCCGGGTTCCAAGGCCTGGTGGGGAGGGACTCCCGCCCCTTTGCCAAGCCTGGAACTTGCAGAAGTTGCCCGAGGCCTGGAGCGCGCTCTGCGTCCGCCTCCCCCTCCCCGGCCTAGCCCGCCCAGATTGGACGTCCCCACCCCCGCGCCCCTGGAGTCTTCGCCCTTGGAGCTGCGACGGCGCGCTCCTCGCGGAGCCAGGCCCAGCTTCTTTTGTCATTCACCGGGCTGGGGCCCAGGCGCGCCTTTCTCATGGAGAGAGCGCGCGCAGAGGCCGCGCGGCTTGGGTATCTTTCTGGCCGGGTCACAAGGCCCAGGCTCAGGTTGGGGAAGGGATGTCATCTGCCCTGGGCCCAGACTCCGGGATTTCAGGCCTGAGCGCGCTGTTCACGGGGCTTTTCGGGGCTTGGGGCGAGTCCAGAGCTGACGGTCCTTCCCGCAGCCAGCTCGCAGGTGGCGGCGGCAAGGACAACTCGGAGCTCACCACGTCTTTTCTTTTCTCGCTGCATCTCCCAGATTCCGGGTCAGCCGTTGGCGGCCCCGTGATGACTGGGTCGCGTTCCAAGTCAGGAACAGGAGCGGGCGCGTGGGCGCTGTTTTCACGCGGCAGAGAGCCCGCAGCGTGTGCTTGTCTGGCCCCTCTTAGGGCTACGGCCTTGGGCCTCGCGGTGCTCGCGTGTCTGGGGCGAGGGCAGTGGGTAGGAGAGAGAGGTGGGGGCCGGGCCTTCTCTAAGAGACCAGCCTGGTGTCTCGGCCTTCCAAGCTGGGGAGGGAGCCATGGCTTCGCCTACATTTCAGTCTGAGGGCCAACGCCCAGGACCCTGGGGCCGGAAGGAGTGGAGTGTTTGCACCCAGAGGTGGCTGTGAACATCTGCTTGGGTGTGTTTGCGGCTTTGTTAGCATGTATGTGATGTTTGAGAATCGCATGTGTGTGTTTGTGTCTGTGCATAGATAGGTTGTGCGTGTTTGTTTGCTTATATGCGTCTGTGCGTGGTATATCCAGATCAGTGGTGTGACTGCGCTGTGGTATGTGTATTTTTGTGTGTACATTTGTTGCATGTTTACACATGTTCTGCTAATGTTTGTGTATTTGTGTATGCACTTTTGTTTTCGTTGGTCTGTGTATGTGAGTGGGAAGCCATGTGAGTGTGAAGGGGTGTGTGTGTGAGTGGACAAATGCGTAAGATTATTTGTGTACATGTGTGTGTTAATTTTGACTTAAAATGTACTTTAAAAATATTGAACGGTGTACTTGTGCGTGGGTGAACATGTGCCCGTTTGAAACCCTGTGTGTTTGTGGCTGAGCTGGGCTGGGTGTGCTTGTGAGTGTAGAATTTTGTGGGACTGTGTTGTATGATGGTCCCTATGTGTGATTAACAGCATTTTTGTTTCTGTGATTCTGTAGGTTTGTTGGTGTGTGTTTTTTGTGTGTGTGTGCGCACACGCTCCTGGCAGCATTTACTTTTGTGGGGTTTGTGGGGTGGGGGTTTGTGTGCCTGCATTGGGGCATTTGGTGGAGCTCAATTCATCCCCCCTCACCCCCCACCACCACCAAACCCCCACCCAGATTTCTCTCCAGGCTTGGTGCTGTCCCCCACAGTAACTAGGGGAGGTGGCCTGGCTGGGGACTGGGAATTGAGGTCACTACTGGGACGTTGACCCATAAGCTGGGTCTTTGGAAGAGGGGCTTCTGTCTGTTGGGGTTGGCACCTGATCCTCCAGCTTGGGAGGGACAGGTGTCTACGCAGCAGAGCATTGAGGCCGGCTGCAGCCAGCTCGGCCAGGAGCAAGCAGGATAGCTCTTGCCTGGCCTCCTGGCCTCACTTAGTACCTGAGTACAGGCCAAGCCAAGAGGATCGTGGAGCCCCAAACAAAACCGAAGTTTCTGGCAGTTCCTGGCCTTGCCTGTTTAGGTTGTTGGCGCTCCAGCCGGGCAGGGACAGTGAGAAACAAGAGCCAGCAGGCGAGACATCCAGGCCAGGGGCAGGGGTGAATTCTGGTCCCTTCCTGGTCTTTGTCTCCCTGGAGTTTCTCATCTCTCTGCTTCTCCCCTGCTCTCTGTCTTAATTCCCACCTTGGCTTCTCTCTTCTGCTCGGTCCCCGTCCTCCTTCAAGTTACTCTCTCCCTCATTCGCTTCTTTCTTTCTCTTTTTCTGGTGTTTTTTTGGTTTCCTCCTTCTGTCTCTCTGCTGGACTTTCTAAGCCGGTGTCCGAATCCCGCAGCTGGCTCAGAGCTGCAGTTAACGGTGCTCAGTGTCCACCACAGATTGTGGAGTGCCAAGGAAGAGTTGCACATCCTGCCCACACATGACACCAGACCCCACCCTGCGGCTTCCTGCCTTGCTGGAGACCACTGGGCCACCTCCCCGCGCCCTCCGTCCCCGGGTGGCCAAGGGGCCAGGTCTAGGCCACCTTCCCTGCTTGGGCCTGCTTCACCCCGGTTCACCGCAACAGCAGCTGGGTGCCGGTATGTTCGGCTCTATCTGACTAATCGATGTGCCTAAATGCCAATGCATGGGTGCCACGGCTCCAGGCAAGGGAGGTTTTGGGGTACAGAGAGTGATCCCAGAGAGCAGTGCCAGTCTCCCCAAGCCTGTTTGTGTGTGGTGTATGGAAGTCACCAGGACTGAGTCCCCATCACAGGTGATGAAGGCCTGACTTCCCGAAGTCCTCCTCTGGCTTCGAGTCTTGTAAACCAAACTCACCTTTGGCACCCAGGACCCAGCCCTCGGAGCCACCTTGGGGGGCCTCATGCTCAGCCCAGCATCACCGGAAGCACCTCCCCAGCCCTGCCTGCCTCCAGGAACCCTGCCGGCCCTCCAGAAGTCCTCTTCCTTCCCCGGTGCACTGCCTCGGCAAACATCAGCCGACCAACTATTAGACATGTTATCCCACCCTTACAGCGCTAACAGATGGCGACCAGGCAGAGCGATCCCCTCCTATATGTAACTAATAAACCGCTTGTGTCTTAACAGGGTAATGCATGGAGACGCAATGTCACTTATACAAGATGTTGATGGAATTTCCTATATAAAAATCTTCCTCCTAGAATAGAGTACCAACATTACAACTCGACAGACGGCGGTGGGATAAGTAAAACAGACAAAAGACAAACAAGATAATAATCTGCTTCCAATCACTTAAGCCCCGTAGAGTTAGTAATACGCGTTTTGCGTATTCCCCTTTGAGTTCGGTAATTAATTACCGAAGAGAAGGCGCGCATCCGCCCGGGTGGGGAGTTTCGAGGCGCGCGGAGCCGGGGCCAGGAAGGCGCGGGTTTCCGCTTCTCCAGTCCTGGGCACGAGCAGCGAACCCGAATGAGGGCTCGGCGGGCGTTTGGCTCTGACCTTCCCGCAAGTGGAGCAGACTTTTCGGTACCTCCCCATGTCTCGCCAGAAACTCTCCTGCCTGCGGGGGAAGCCTAGACTGGAGGACTCCCCTGGCGGCCGGACTATCTCTCCTCGCCCCTCCGAGGTCCCCTGTCTTGGACTCTCCAGCATGGGCTGCTTTCTTTGGCAAGCGCGCGCCCTCGGTGCCGCCGTGGTGGTGGGAAGACTAGATAGCACACCCCTCGCCTTTTCCTCCTTGTCGCCTCTTGGGCTACGCAGCGGTCCCCTCCCGACTTCTATCATTACCGCTCCCCACTTCACACACAATCTGCATCCCCAGCCCCCCCTCCCCCAGAGCCAGCGCGGCTTTAACATTAAACAAACGCAGCGAGCGCCTCGGAGCTGCGCTCTCGGCCGGGTCTGCGCGGCCGCGGCGTTACAAATTGTAAATTTAAATTGCTCGCCGGATTCATTACCTCCCCTCTTTGATTTCAGCCAGCCGTGAAAAATTATACTGGTGTACCACTGAGAAACTGTTTTGCCGCAAAGAGCCCGCGCCTAATCACTGCCTTTCTCCCTCCGACAAAAGTGTAATTATTTTGTTTGGGGTGTAAATATAGGCCGCGCCGTGCACACACACTCAGCGTCCCGCCGCGCCGCCGCGCACCGCCCGCCGCCGCCGGGAATCGCCCCGAGTCTGAGCGGCCTTGCAGGCTGGGCCCGCCGCCTGGAGGCCCTAGGAAAGTGGCTGCTTTGGGGCTCGGGCGAGACCCAGCCAGCTGAGCCGGCAGGCCCGGTCAACGTCCCCTGTCCTCCGAAGCTCGGAGTTGCCCGGGGATCCCCGGACCGCGTGTGCCCAGGCTGGCCGCGGTGGACCTGGGCTTGTGTTATGCGTGGGGACACAGCGCGGTCATAGCTGTCGGCGCCGGGATGCTCCGGAGAGAGGGAGGAGTTGGGGGTTGGAAGTGGTGTGGGCCAATGTCGGGGGTCTCC